CGCTCTTCGGGCTTTTTTTTATTCATTTTCTCTCTCTCTCTCTCTCGTTTATAGAGATGCTTGTGCACTTGCTTTGCTTCACTGGATTTAGATCGAAGCGAATTGATGCTGTTAAGAATGCGAATGGCACAAGATGAACGAGCAAACGAGCGCGCGCTCGTGAATTTGCAACAATAAAGATGTGCATAATCCGATCATCACTGTGAAAATAGACTTGCTATAATGTCAATGCAGGCAGTGAAAATTTCGACACACCGAATCAAGCAAGTATCAAATGGAAAATGATCGCACATTCGCACAAAGTGTGTGTTTACACTGTACAGTGTACACAGTTGCTATTGTGCTTGCATCGTTGAAACCAACGATTCCAATCGATTGATTGGCTTGGCTTGGATTGGATTGGATTTCGGTGTGTATGCTTTGATTATTTCGAATTGAACGCGAGCCATTGTGCATTGCGCGAAAGTGGGAATCAAAGCATTTGACTCGTTAAAAATCGTAACAAGATATCATCTCGCTCGTTTTCTCTCTCTCTCTCTCTCTCTCTCCCTCTCTCTCTCTCTCTCTCTCTCTCTCTCTCAATGTGTTGTTTTGTTTTCATTGTTCATCGATTTTTAGTCGAAAGAAACCGTTCTAAAATTTTTACACTGTTGCAAGTGAAAGGAGAGAGCAAGAGTGAGTGTTCGAAGAGTCAAAAGACACATGATGCGATTGTATCTGCGTTTGTTGTGAGCGCAGTACTGTTTCTGTTATGCTTTGAGAAGCAATCGATGAAAGTATGCTGCTGGTGATGCCACCACACAGCTACTGCTGCGCCCGATGTCATGCCACGGTCTATTGATTGTGTATGCACACGACGAAATGTAAACACCTTGAGCGATGAATTAACATCCCTGGCAATGGTGAAAAACATGCAAAACTGAGAAAACCGATCGACAAAATCCAATTGAGAATCCAGTTTGCATACACACGCATTTCTTGTACGTTTCTATCTCTCTCATGTATTTCTCGCTGCCCTCTGATTTCTCTGTGATGTTTCTTTTGACTCTCATACCATAAAAAAACTCGCAAATGATTTCCGGGGCTCTTGAAATCACAAACAAACACAATGAAACAACGTCGACTAAGCAACGCAACGCTATTAGATTGAAGTGAATCGATTATTTGTATTTCATCGTTTGTTTCTTTAGAAATTCATTGTGCTGAAAATGCGATGCACAAGATAATAAAGAAACAATAAATCACTTGCACACTGATTCATCGAGAGGCGTACGCTAGCGCGAGCACTCACACGCGTTGCTATTTTGATTGGTTTCGATCTTTTCTCTCTGTGTTCGGTCGCTCGCTTGCTGCTTGGCTGGCTCACCAAGAACAATATGTGAATAGAGAGTCGTAGCAAACTGAGTGACTGCGACGGCGACTCGAGTAATTCTCTTCGTCTTGGAATCAAATAATCAGGTATTGTGTATATGTCGGAAGGCAAACGATTTCATTGAAATAATAACAGCATCGACGGAGAGGATTTATTTATCGACGCTTGATTCCATCACATACACACACACACACAATGGCTTATGTGTCGATACATCATTTGCCAACAAATTGATCGAAAATTAATGTATCTATTTCGATTGAACGGTGTGTATGCATCTCGTAGCAACCGCAGCAGCAGCAGCAGCAGCTAGAGCATAAAACGTCTGTATCAACCAGTGAATTTATCACTCCTTTGATCTATCCAATTCTCTTTATTACGTACGAACTCACGACACACGTTCTTTAATGTTTCGAATCGATTCTACAAATTCCGACTGCAAACTGATTGAATGGTTGATGTTTTTTTTTCGTGTGTGTCGAGTGGCATAGCATGGCATTGGCAATGTGTGTTTTACTGCGGGCTGGGGCTCTTCTGCCACCGAATGATAATTAAATTGATTTGTTTGGTGTGCTCGGCTTTGGTTCGGTTCGGATTATTAAACACATGACCTTCTTGCTGTTTCTCACCTAATTTGCTATGTGACGTGCTATTTGCTTCGAATGCGTTTTTAATTGGCAATAAAACGTCGATGAAAAGTTCTCGACACGAATCGTCTGCCTTCGAACACGATCACATTACCCACGTATACTCTATACCGATGCAATTTCTGACGTGACAAAGACACAACGACCGAAATAAAGAGAGAACAGAAAAGAAGGAAGAATACCCCAACGCAATGAATATTTAATGTTGTAATGCATCATTGATCTGTTTCACGCACACGATGTTTTCGTTTTGGAAATGCCTTGTTACACTCAAACATGCAAAGCAAAATGTCGCTCTTTGATTCCAACCCAAGTCCTTCGGTTTCAATACACGAAAATACTTTGAAGCTGAAGAAAGTGTGACGAACTTTTTCGAGCTGTTGCTCGTTTTTTCTGCATCCGTTTTTAGTAGCCATGGAAAATTGATACATTGCAGTCAATCATACCGCAAAATTGTTATGCAAATTGTGTTCATGTTAGTGCCTTGCGATGCGGTTTTTAACTGCTGTTGCATTGAAATGCCACTGCATCAGAGCCTATATAGTAACATTTTGAGAAGCGCAAAGAGCGAGAGGCACTAGATGTGATTACAGAATATCATATTTTGCGGCGCTGATTGCATCAGCATCATTGTATTATACGCTACTTTGCGGTTAACGCTACATCAATGGCTTGAAACAAATCACTGAATCGATCGCAATCGACTCGGTGTACGGTATTAATTGCAGCTGCTGTTGGTGATTTTGCGTGAAATAATGCAATTTTACTCTTGCTCTTTCTCTTTTCGCCATATATTTGCCTTTGTATTGGTTTTGGTTTTTGTTTTTGTTTTTGTTTTTGGGTAACCAAGGATTTGATGGTTGAGACGATGCTACATCGTTTTTTTTTATTCATTTTCATCGAGGCTGGTTTGATCTCGTTATATTTCAATAAACCGATCGATTTCCAGTGATTTAAGAAAAAAAATAACCAGCAAAGAATTTCTCCATCTCTCGCATCAACATTCTGACAGTTCATATTGATATCGACGGCTTTTTCATGCAATGCATCGATTATGTTTCAATTTTAAACTTGATTGCTCGTCTATTTTCCTCCGTTTCTTTTTCTGGTTTACATCTGACATCCGACGAGTCTGTGTGTCTTTTTTTCCATCGAGTTTATTTGTGATTTGTGGGTTTGTTAAGTGTAAATGTGCTGCTCTTGATATTTAATACCATTTATTTCGATCGAAGAACAAAGAAACGTCTGTTAGAGACGAGAGCGATGATTTGTGATTTGTGATTTGTCTCTTGTTGAAAGGAAATTCTTCTTGGTTTTTGGCTTTTTGCTTGATACAGTTGCAAGATGTGACAGAGATTCTCCTTTCATTCGTGATATTATTGAACTGGCCGCTTGTTTTGAATTTCATGTCGGGCGAAAGAAGGACATCGAAAAAAGGACAAAACAACACGATTTCATCATACACTTTTAATGAAACCCAACAAGTGTTGAATGCCTTTATTGTTATTATTATTATTGATGTTATTGAAATGGTGTTCATATAGTCGGACAATGGCCGTGCACTCGGTTACATTTTATGCAGATTTTTCGATAATTTACGAATGCTCGTGACTTGTTTACATTTTTGGTCACACTCACTTCGCTCAGAGTTGATACATGAACACCAATTGAAATGAAGTGCTGGCCGTTAGTGACATCTGACATTCGTTGCAATCTCACTTTTCGTACAAACACTAGTCGTGGAAACGTGCTAAATAACCAGTCATTAACACTCCATCCAATAATACACATATGAGTGCGTGCCCAAGAGCACTGATCGACGCGCATCGCGGAAAACATGCATGTGACGAAACTCAGTGATTATTCGTGACACTATTCATTGATCATAAATAACTCTTCATTATGGGAGAAAATTAAAATGTTCAGAATTGATTTTGGTCTTTTGTAAACAAAGCGACATCTTTGTTTCTAGAAATTGGGAAAAACAAAAGAATTGTTTGAGCGTCCTCAAAAGTGCAAAATGACTATTGTTTCTTTTTTTCTACTTCATTGTTTTGAACACATTGGTATTTAAATTTTCTGTTGTTTCCAAACCATTTTCAATTTTAACTACACTGGCAGTTGCCTAATTACATTTCGATGAATTTCATTTAAAAAAAATTATTCGGTAGATTAAGTTTCGCTGAGCATGTCATGCGTTACGGTGGGCCAACCTATGAAAATTCGACGATTTTCCACATTCGATTTTAATTTGCTGTCAACAAATTGATTGAAATTTATATTTTTATTTTTTTTTTCACGCACCATCGACATCTTACGCGATCATACGTAACTTGAGCATTTGGTGGTTTCAGTGTATTCGTCATTTCTACGTGTGTGTGTGTGTTGCGATGGTCGTCGATTACGCAGCGGTTTCTTGAGAATTCGACGAATAAATGGTTTTCTAATTTCTTTTTAACATGTGTTTTGAAAACACATCGTTGTTTTCCCTCCATCACACCTGTTAGAAACATCGTTCGCGTCGCACTTACCTGCCTCAGCACCGCCATCAAATTATCCATGAACGCCGAAAATTACCTTCGAATGTTTTAATTCTAAGCTTGTTCCATTGCTTTTTTTTCAATTTTCTTCTGTTCCAAGCCAAGAATCAAGGCAGTGGATTCTGTTTCAAGTGGTTTTTTTGAAGGGAATTGTTTGCATACTTTCACTGTGCCGAAGAAAGTGTGTGTTTTTTGCACAAATTCAATTTTAACGCAATCGTTAAAATTATTATCTTTTGATTCTCGAGCGAATAAAGCATAAAATTCTCATGCGTTTATATTCGGAGCTGACGCAAATGGGCATGAATTAGAAAGTGTCTAATTACTCGCCGAACTAAAGTTTATTAAAATCTAATTAACTGGTAGCATCTCACAGAAGCTAAGAACAACGAAGTGAAATAATGCAAACGACCAAATATGATTTTGTTACATTACACTTACCTCTTTGAGTGAGAACGCGGCCGTCATATTTTGAATGCAGTGAACTTGTATATTGTTTCTCGTTTCTTCTTAAGGCTCTGAAATGAATGCGGAAAAATAGAAATTATCGTAATGGATTCAATTTAAAAGAAAAAGAAGAAAAAACATAATGTAGCAAGTGAAATCGATATTCACAGCAACGGAAAAAGTAAAAACAAAACAAACGAGTAAAAAACAATCACAAACAAAAAACCATAGACTTTTTCTAATAAAAGCCTTTCATCGCATTTAAAACATATTTATGGAAGTAAAAACGCGTTTTCCTTGAGACTCTCTTTGTTTATTTGTACCGGAATCAGTCATGTTTACTTGCTTTCGAATGCGAAAAGAATTAATTCTAAATGAGTGATAAGCATAAACAACATACTTGGCATTCTAGGCGAATATAATTAAGTGACCACTTAACCACCAAGCAGCAGCAGCAGCAATGGCATTTCGTGTCACATTGTACGAATCTAATATGCTGCAGTATTTATACACCTATTTAATTGATTTCGGATATGTCTTAAGTTTTTTTCTTCATCCCGGATTATCGCCAGTTCAATGGGTTCTCTCTTACGCTCTGGCTCAGTATATCGTGCTTGTGCTGTCATGTATGACGCTGTATGTGTGTATGGCGTCTGGTGACAACGATTAAGTCACACATCAACAATGTTGATTCAACATCATTGTAACAAATTGGATTACCAAGTGGAGAATTATCGCATTCGATGGTCTTAACAAGGTTGTAATGCTGAAAACATGTTCAAATGTGTAGAATTGAACGGTGACGATGACGATGACGACAGTTTTGCACTTTATTGACAGCCCACAACCACATTCAAGAAAAAGAAAACGCGATAAAAAATGTTGTGAAACGTAAATCTTTTAATTAAAAAAAAAGCGATGACTGTTTTCACGTTGGTTAAGTGATGATATTTAAAATGAGCGTTTCAGTGAAAAATGCTAACAATAGGCAATCAAAAGTGGTTTCAAGTTGAAGGGAACGAAATTGCTCAAAACGGTCATCATCGACAATTATACTGGGTGCACGGAGAGACTCAGAGTTTGCATGGCATAGACTAGATGAACGACATGGAAAAGGTTGGAATGGCAAAGGACGTATGAGACAGCTGAAAAGCAACCGCTTTCATTCTCTTTCTCTCTGTTCGTTTTTTGTACTGGGTTCCGTTGAAGTTCACCATCGACGAGTGTTATTTCAACCAGTCAACGACATATCCTAAATTTTTGCAACATATTTTTTTTTACAAAGCCCAACGATACCCAACCAATTTCCCTCAGTGAGAGTGTATAAATTAAGTCTATATGTGTAATTCACTTGACGTTTGAAAGCCAAGGAAAGTCAGCAATTTCTATCAAACGTTTGATTAAAATACTACGATGCAAGCTTCCATCAGATCGGTTTAATGAAAAAGGAAAAAATCCTCTTTCGATGGCATTCTCTCCACGCGATAGAACTGCGCTTCACAATGCAACAAAAAACAAGTTGTGGAATAATGTGTACAATTTTGTGCTGGTGAACAAAAGGTAAAATGGAAATATGTCTTATTGTTCTTATGCCCACTTGAAGTATTACTTGAAATGGCAGACAATGAGTGCAACATAATTTACTCATTGTTTTTTTTTTTGCTATGCTCTTTGTTTGTGTATTCTGTGCAATTTTTTGCGCTGCTGTTATTGCCGAGCCGATGAAAAAATTGAATATTGGTTGTGTTTGCATGAGCACGTCTGGTTTTAAGTTGAAATGCCAACATAATTGTATCCGTGTCGGTGTGAGTGGTTCTTTCATAAGGGTTAATAACGCTTCATACGGTGATGCCGTCCTAATTACAGCAAGTCGATTTGTCAGGCGTTGGCTTGTGCAACGGTTATTAACGAAACGACATTGTAAATATGTGCATACAATGTATGCACCGTTGATTTCGTCGTCATTACCATCAACGCCATCGATGTGGCCGTATTGTTGTTGGTGGTGTGTTGTGAGATTTCATGTTAAGTGACTTCAGATGCCGCTTTATGTGACGTTGTCATCTTTCACTCTATTCGACAGGCTACATGCAAAATGCATCACAAGTCATTATTAGCAAATAAATCTTTCAATCTGTCCTCCGTTGCCGCACAAAATGCTCTTCGTTAGCACTTTTTCGCACTCATCAATCGGAATATGTATTAGCAAATAGCTCAATATCTCAGAATGGAATGGTGATGGGAGGCTTTTTATCTAATATTTAATGATCACTTGTTTCGCTTTTAATTGAAGCAGTTGAGCGTGTTTTACACACGGCATGAAAAATGTTCGTGTCATTTGCATATTGAGCGCATTAGCAAAATTGGAATATTGCAATAAAGTGCTGCACGCTGGTGCATGTGTGTGTGTGTGTGTGCTGACGGCAACCGCATCATCCCTTCGAATGCAGAAATTGTTTTTCACACTCCATTTGATAAAGTAATATGTGATGCATGTTCCATATTATTTGTGCATTCATAAGCCTTGCTGTGCCGGAACTTGAATTCCGCTCTCTCATTCTCTCTGTAGCGATTTCAATTTCGATACATGTGCGGTGCACGGCCTCCCTTTCAATGACAATTACAAGTGTATCGAGTTACTCGGCCGTTTGCTAATAATTTACTTATTCGAAATCGAACGATTGAATTAGCCTCTAATATTGGCGATGATTAACCTGAACGCGTTCACAACATATCAGCCACAACCAACTTGCCAACCGACATATGCGAGCGACCGATTCAATTTGGCTGCATCGCTCGACGATGCTGATAATGAATGCGTAAACGGCAAATTGAAATCGAATTGAAAACACCGTAGGACATGGCGCAATCAAATATGGCCAGTTTCAACTTTGTGTGTGTGTGTGTGTGGAGAGTATCGAGACTTTAAGTCGCACCGCATTTGGAAATGAAACGAATGTGACTTCAAGCACATTATATTCAATAATTATGCTGTATTTTGTCGAAAATAGCGTTCAATCCTTTTTGATTATGCAATTTTAGCATTTTAACGATGCCAACTCTCGTGTCAAAGGGATATCTTTCCCAGTTTGTTGGCCAAACAATTCGAACTTCCATCGTTGCATTTTAATAACTCGATTTGGAATATGGAATGTCTGGGTGTCGGTTGATGGTAAAAATTGTCACGTTGATGGCGTTCCCGAATCGATTCGCATGAAGTGGACGTCGTTATCAATGTCAATTTGAAAAGTGGTCAACACAATGCCGTTCAGTTACTGTCAAAACCGAAAACGCGCACAATTCACGCACATTTCCATCAAATATGTAATGAAACCATTTTCATTTATGCATTTGGCTTTAATGTGGTGGGCGACATTGAGGAGACGAAGAGAACCGTTGAAATGATCTGTGCGAGAGAATAGTGCGATGCCGATGGTTCGAACGAATGCATTGTCCCATATTGTTAACGGAATGTGTGAGCCTTCATTTACATGTGCAAACATTTCCAGCTGGCGACGCAGCACATTAATCACAAATCGAAACAAAAACTTAGTCTCTCTCTCTCTCCCACTTTGAACCAAACTGTGCACGGTCGAAAGGTGTTCAATGCTCGAACATTCAACATCACATGAACGCATTCTAATGTACAAGGATGAAATGCACACATATTCTAATGGAGAATGAGAATTGTACCAGAAGAATCTGGTGCGTGCATTTAACAACTGATTCATTCAACTGGCGACGGTAATGCCATGAATGGATTTTCAGTGTTCAATGAGATGAACGCAGACGGAATTTATGGGCCGACTGAAAATTTATGCACACAACAAATACATTCATTGGTTTTGTTCGAAACGAGAAACCATGAGAGTGAAACTAAATTTACAAGTATTTCCACGTATATATATATATATCGGTGTCAATCTCCTGAATTTACCGAACTCACTTTGGCTGACCGAACGATTCAAAGTCACATTTCCGAAATGGAAAGTTGGAATTAGTGATTTATGCAAAATGAAATTTGATACGATAATCTTCATTACCATCAGCTTTTTCTCTTTGTGCATTCGATGAGATGCACAGTGTTGGATTTTACTTCTGAAGAACGACGAAAGCGTAATAATTCATTTTATAGTACATTAGTGTCGAGAGAAAGAGAGAAAAAACCCTGCTCACATGCGTTCGGCCATTGAAATTCGGAGAAAAGAGCGTCGAGTAATCGCATATTGTATTTCTGCTGTGTGGCTATTATCAATGCGCTCAAATGATGAACACGAATGCGGTCACTGGTGATAATAATGATTTCATGATGAAATTCGGTGGCCACATTTTCTCAAACTAAATCATAAGGTCGCCCACGCGTAAATATTCACATTGCATTTTCGAATGGCGATAGAAATTGGGCCGGAGATGGCTTTTCGAAAATGATGCCGTCAAAAATGTGAGTCTAAGCTATAACGCATGAGCTAAGCACAAAAACCGGTAGTCACATTTTCACATATAAACACTCTCGTTCACCGAAGAATGACTCGTTATCTTCTAAATTGCTTGCTTTGCCATCCACAATAACAATGAGCTATATTCCGAAGAAAAATTGTTTGACAACAATTATAATTCTCAAGGCTATAAACATGCTTAGCGCCCACACAATCGCACGCATTCATTCCCAAGCCCAACACCAAATACGGACGGAATGAAGAGAAACAGAGAGAAACACACGGAGAAAAAAAAAAATCAGAAATCGGACTGAACAGAAGCTTGTACCACTGATGAGATCAGACACTTCTCGTGTTCACGAGATCTATACGGCTACGCTGTTTATTATGCGTTTTGTTATGATTTGGAAATATTTAAACGAAGCGCTAACGACGTACTTTATGCTCTCTATTTGTGTGCTTTGACTTTTTCAATAGCAATGGAATTCACCTAATTTTCAAAGTGTACGCGAATCAAGCGCGTGGAATCAATTAATCAAATACCAAATAAAATGCTTGCGTTATTTGTTGCATAACGCCAAAAGCTACAGCTTTAACGATACTTTATGAGTAATGAGAGCAATATTGAATAATTC